TGACGTTTGTGTGATTTACATTGGTTTTCTCCTCATTACGGGTCACATGTTCGGTGTTATTTGTATGCGGTGTGTAATCTGCTTCGGACTTATCCAGTATTGGCTGTGTTAATTTTACCTTTGTATATGTATTTATATCGATAGACTCTTCTTGATGCTTTGTCTGGGCAAATAGCAGTTAAGTTTACTTGAAGACGGGCACAAGGCGCTCATGCCGTGCTAATCGGCCAGCATTTTGGGAGGGCAGAGCAGGGAAGATATTTGAGGTCAGGAGTTTGAGTGGAGCCATCCGGCCACGTGGGAGGAACCCTGTCGTGCTCTAAAAGAATACAAAATAAATTAGCGCTTTGGGAGGCGAAGGGCGGGCAGATCCACGAGTATCAAGGCGTTCGAGACCAGTCGGGCAGACATTAGTTGTAATATCGCGCTCCCTCCTGATATAATACAAAAATTAGCGGTGTGGTGGTGGTGTGCCTGTAATCCCAGCTACCTGTGTGAGGTCTTATGGCAGTTCGAGAATTTGCTGTGATACTTTGGATCGGTAGAGGTTGCAGTGAGCGAGATTGACGCCATGTCTATCTTCTCCAGTCCTGGTTGGCATATCTCAGCGAAGGATTGTTCTCTGAGGGTGTTTGTGTCTCAAAAAAAAAAAAAGAAACTAGCGCTGGGGGGTATGGGTGGTGGCGAAGCTGAACCCGCTACTAGGGAGCTGACAGGTCAGGAGGAAGCGGGGTGAACCTGGGAGGACACCATGCTGCAGTGAGCTGGAGATCACGCCACGGCACCCCGCCTAGCCCATTCCGTCTCAACAAAAAAAAAAATTACTTGGGAACCATTTGATGCATTCAAGTTTTGTTGTTCTATTGCGCCTGTTCTAGTGGGTATTAGGCAGGTGCAGTAATGTAATTTTCCCCTCTAAGAGGCAAGACCGTTGCTAGTCGCTCTACCATGACCTGGGTGAATTCTGAACAGGACCGTCTTGGCCGGATGCAAGCAGCTTTCCGCAGGACTGCAGAGTTCAGATGGTTCTTTTCCCAAGAGAAGTAATGTGAGTGTCACAGCGTGTGTGCTGATGTACTCTGCTAGCATATCCAGGGGTTCTCTGCAGTGCTCTAGGGTTCGCGCGTGCAGAACTCTCTCTGTGGCACCCTTCCTTATGAAGCTGCAGTGTACCTTGTCTTGGCGGGACTCAGCGTCTGTTACCAACCAAGGAAGCCGAGCTGGCCTCTTAGTCTCCAGCTAAGCCCAGATTGCAGGGGCGGCCCCGTCACGGATTTACATCTCTCCAGACGCGGATCTTTTGTCAACCTCGATGTCTAGGATGGCGAAAAACACATGTGGTCACTGTGAGTGTATCAGGCTGGAGGGTAGAATCTGTGCTTTGTTACTTCGTCTTGGACAGAAGGCGGAGAGATTAGGACCGTGCTTACCTACGAAGGACATGTTGAGACGAGAGTGGAATATATGAGGGCTTACGATTTACAAGATTCTCTTGTTACGTGCTGGCTGTGAGAATGAAAGAGGGTGAAGGCGCAGAATCTAAGGGGAGAGAGAATTACGAGTCTATAGCAAGAGAAGGTGTTGGCTGGGACTCCGGACGGTTGGCCCGCGGGGCCGACAGAGAAGTGGCGCCGGAGAGCCAGGCTCCAGGCTCATGCGCGAGCGAGCAGTCTTGGGGAGGCGAGGAAGAGACAGGAGGATCCGCGCGTGCGAACGCGAAGCAAGTTTGAGAGCCGTGGGGCAGACACAGGGGAGACCCGCGTCACCAAACGTCGGGTGTAGGGTAGTATATAATTTTGTTTTTCCGGTAAGACAGAGTCTGCTCTGGGCTCAGCCCATGCTGAGTGCGGGAGTGGCTGGATATGGCTTGCACGTAACCTCCCGCGCTCCTGGGTCCAAGCAATTCTCCCTGCCTCAGCCCTCTGAGTAGCTAGGACTGACAGGTGCGCGAGCTTGATGTCTTTTATATTGTGAGTAGAGACGGTTTCACACTGTTGCCTCTATGTTTTCTTTCTATATATTCTTCTTTTGTGTGACTCCAGGCAATCCAACCGCCTTGGGCTCAAGTGCGTAGGATTATAGTGTCAGCCATCCTATCTCCAGGGCCTTATATATATTTTTTGTTGTTTAATTTTTTTTTTTTTTTTTTTGAGATGGAGTATTGCTCTATTGCCCGGGCTGGAGTGCAGTGGCGTGACCTTGGCTCACTGCAACCTTTGCCTCCCAGGTTCCAGAAATTCTCCTGCCTCAGCCTCCCGAGTAGCTGGGATTACAGGCGCCCGCCACCACGCCCAGCTAATTTTTGTATTTTTAGTAGAGACAAGGTTTTACCATGTTGGCCAGGCTGGTCTTGAACTCCCGACCGTGTGATCCGCCCACCTCGGCCTCTCAAAGTGCTGGGATTACAAGCGTGAGCCACTGCGCCTGGCCAAATAATTTTAAAAATTTGCCGGGTGAGGTGATGTGCGCCTAGGGTCCCACCTACTCGGGAGGCTGACGTGGGAGGACTGCTTGAGTGCAGGAGGCTGAGGCTGCGGTGAGCTATGATTGTACCACTGCTCTCCAACCTGGGTGACGCAGCAAGTCCCTCTCCCCTCAACACACATAGCAGAAAAAAAAAAGAGAGAGACAGAGAAAGTTGTAGAATCTGGGCAAAGTTAGAGCTGCCAGAGGTGTCTGAAGGAATGGTGTGGGGTGTGGGAGGAATAAGATGCTTCCAAGCCTTCTGGCTTGAGTAAGTGGAGGAATGGAGTTTCATTCATTGAGCTGGAGAAGACTGCAGGAGGAAGTGTGGGGAGCATGAGACATGTTCTTCTTGGGATGCCTTATTCTCCAAGAGAAAAAAAGTTTTTCTTAAGTCACTGTACAAGTGAAGATTTCAAAGCAGGCAGTGGAGTAGATGTGGAGTTTAGGGGAATGGTCTGGGCTGGAGATAAATATTTGGGAGTCATAACGATATGAAAATGTAACCTTAAAATGTATTTAAGGCTCTAAGACTGGAGGAGATTAATCTAAGGAGTGAGAGCAGACAGCAGAGAGGTCCAACACTGAACTCTTACACCTGCACCATGTAAAGGCTGGGAAAAAGAGAAGGACCAGCAGCAGCCACAAAAGTAGGCAGAACACCCAGCAATGTTTCAACAAGGACTAAGTGGGCTGGGCACGGGGCTGCATGCCTGTAATCCCAGCGCTTTGGGAGCAGAGACAGGAGGATCGCTTGAGCCCAAGAGTTTGAGACCAGCCTGGGCAGCACAGTGAGATCCCTCTCTAGAAAAACAATTTTAACTAGCTGGGCATGGTGGCACCTGCCTGCAGTCCCAGCTACTCAGGGAGACTGAGGTGGGAGGATTTCTTGAGCTGGGGAGGTTGAGGCTGCAGTGAGCTATGATCTCATCACTGCACTCCAGCTTGGACAACTGATCAAGACTCTGTCTCAAAAGGAAAAAAAAAAATGAAAATATGAAGCAGGCTGGGTGCAGTGGCTCATGCATGCCTGCAACACCAACACTTTCGGAGGCAAAGCAGGAGGATCCCTTGAGCCCAAGAGCTTGAAGCCAGCTTGGGCAACAAAGCAAGACCCCAGTCTCTACAATTTTTTAAAAAAATTAGTCGGGCCTGGGGGTGAATGCCGGGAGTCCCAGCTACTCAGGAATTCGAGGTGGGAGGATCACTTGAGCCTAGAGTTTAAGACCAGCCTAGGGAACACAGACTCTGTCCCTACAAAACATTTAAAAATTAGCCACTGTAATCCCAGCACTTTGGAAGGCCAAGGCAGGAGGATTGCTTGAACCCAGGAGTCTGAAGCTGCACTGAGCTAGGATGACACCACTGCATTCCAGCCCGGGCAACAGAGACCTTGTCCCAAAAGAAAGCAAAAAGAAAAAACAGCAAAAAAACGTTAATTCTGAGCCACGGGTAAACAATTTCTCTTATTCTCTTTTTGAGATATTTAAAAATAAATATGTGACCAGGTGCGGTGGCTCACACCTGAAATCCCAGCACTTTGGGAGGCAGAGGTGGGCGCATCACCTGAGGTCAGGAGTTGGAGACCAGCCTGGCCAAGAGGGTAAAACCCCGTTTCTACTAAAAATACAAAATTAGCAGAGCGTGGTGGTGCAGACCTGTAATACCAGCTACTTGGGAGGCTGAGGCAGGCGAATCCCTTGAACCCAGGAGGTGGAGGTTGTAATGAGCCAAGATGGTGACACTGCACTCCAGCCTGGGCAACAAGAATGAAACTCCATCTAAGAAAAAAATATATATATATAATTCAGTCAGACTACTATAATGTCCGACTATGCCCATGATTGGCTGGTGATGCCACCCACCCTATCAGAAAAGGTCAGGACAGGATGTTGCAGTTTATCAGAAAAAACTCGAGGACTTTAAGGCCCAGATTCACCGGTTACTGGTGGTGATCTGCTCTGCAGGTACAAACTGCAATCACGTAAAAAAAGAAAAAAAAAAAAAAGAAGAAGAAGAAAAGGCCAGGCGCGGTGGCTCCTGCCTGTAATCCCAGCTCTTTGGGAGGCTGAGGTGGGCGGAACACCTGAAGTCGAAGTTTGAGACCAGCCTGACCAACATGGAGAAACCCTGTCTTTACTAAAAATGGAAAATCAGCCGGGCTTGGTGGCACATGCCTGTAATCCCAGCTACTTGGGAGGCTGAGGCAGGAGAATCGCTTGAACCCGGGAGGCCGAGGTTGCAGTGAGCCAAGATCGCATCATTGCACTCCAACCAGGGCAACAAGAGTGAAACTCCGTCTCAAAAAAAAAAAAGAAAGAAAATTAAATAACAGCAAGCAACTGCATGCACGTTTGAGGGCGGTGTCCGGGGTGAGAAAGGCCCCGCCAGCAATCCATGCCACAATCAGCGATGGCTGAGCGGGTCTGGACCTCGGGGGACCAGGCTGCACGCCTCCAAGCAAATGCACAGCGCGGCTAAATTGGATTCGACAGCACCGGAAACGGCGACTCCCACTTGGGGCGCTGCGGACACACGAGTCGAGGCTGCCTTCCAGGAAGCAAACAAAAAAAGGGGGGAAAAGGGGGGGAAGAAAGAAAGAAAGAGAAAAAGGAGGGCGAGTGGCAAGCAGGGGCCTCGGCCGCCGCCCACACGCCCCGCAGCGTGCTCGTCCCCCGCGCAGGGCTCCCGGCCGCAGCCCTCGGCCATCGGCCGCTCCCAGGTGGCCCAGGCCTCTGACTCCGCGGCCGGCCCGGCGCGGCCCGGCGCCCTCAGGTGCGTACCCCGCCCCCGCCGCCGCCGCCGCCATTAAGGGCGGGTTGCCTTTCGGAACGTCCTACTCCCGAGGGCCTGGGGAAGGGAGGTCACCCGGCCGCAGCGGGAGGTAGCACCCCGGCACACCCCGGCGCCCCGAGGCGAGGCCCCCCCCGAACCCGGGTCCCCACGGTCAGGACCAGAGGCGTGAGGGTGGGGGCGGGGAAGCCTTGCCGCGGGGGCAATGGTCGTACGCACTGCACGCGCATCCCTGTCCTTCCTGATTGGCCGAGCGGGGGGTGTGCGTGACGTCACGCTCCGCCCGGCGTACGTGAGGCGCTCGCGCTGCGTGCGGACGCGCTTGATTGGTTAGATGAGGGGGCGGGGCCGCCGCTGTTACCCCGCAACTGCGCCTCGGATCCGCCCCCTGACGTCACGCGCGCCCAGAGGCCCAGGTTGTGGGTTTTGTCCGTCGGTACGGTCCTCGCGACGGTCTCCGGGGATCTGTTTGTTGGCGAAAAACCAATCCAGACTCCCAAGGAAAAAGGCCGAGGCCTGGGAATTTCCCGTTGCAATTCTGGTTTCCAGTTGAAGGGGGAAAAAGTTTCCCAGGGCTGTGTTCTCCACCCCTCAAGCCCACGCTTTCTTGTTTCTTAATAACAGCGTCGTTGAGATCCATTGTAAAATTCACCTTTTAAGAGTGAATAATTCAGTGCACAGAGTTGTGCAGCCTTTGCCACTAATTGCAGAACGTTTTCAGCACCCGAGGAGAAGAAACTCCAATCCCGTTAGGCCGTCATTCCCCGGTCCCCACCCTGTCCCTACCCCCAGCCCCTGGCAATCACTTTTGTCTCCATGGATTTGCCTATTCTGGACATTTCGTGTGGATAGAATCATCCCAAGTTTTTTGTGTGTCTGGCTTCTTTCCTTCTTTATGGCTGAATAAAAATCCATGATATGAATACACAGCATTTTGATTTTCCATCCACTGATGGCTATTTGGGTCACTTCCACCTTTTGGCTGTTATGAATAATACTGGTATGAACATTGGTGTACACGTTTTTGTGCGGACATTTGTTTTCAATTCTCATAGGTGTATACCAAGGACTGGAATTGCTGGGCCAAGCTTTGTGTTTTAAGGAAAATAAAAAATCGTGTTTTAGTTTCGTGCTGGTAATTTGAAGTAAGCAGATGTCTAGATATAAGCTTGGAAACTGGCCAGTTGGAGATTGCTCACGGCTGCAATTGAAGACTCCAGCAGCCTTTTCTGCTCTTTGCTTCCATTTGGAGAGGAAGGCATCATAGGCTGTGTGACTTCCGTGGACGCGGGGCTTGGCACCAGCCTGCAGTTGGGATCAATCTTCAGTGGCGATTTGGAGTGGGTCACGGTTCTTCCTGCCTGTCTGCCTGTTTGGTCCCTGACGTCTGCTCCCCAGGGCCCTGGCTCTTCCCCCACGCCTTCAGCCTGCACAGTCCCTTCTCTCATTCTCAGGCTGCGGAACCTGAAAGTACAATTTTCCCCCTTACCCGCTGTCTCAGTTACCGGAGGTCAACCGTGGTCTGAAAATATTACATGGTAAATTCCAGAAATAAACAATTTATAAATTTTAAATTGCACGCTGTGATGAAATCTCGCGCTGTGCAGCCTGGCAGTGAATCGTCCCCTTTGTTCAGCGTCCCCACGCTGTGGGCGCTCTGCACCCATAGTCACTTAGTAGCTGGCTCGGTTATTAGATCGACCGTCACAGTGTCCCAGTGTATGTGTTCAAGTCACCCTTATTTTCCGTCATAATGGCCCCAAAGCACAAGAGTAGTGATGCTGGGAATTTGGACAGGCCAAAGAGAAGCCGTAAAGTGCTTCCTCTAAGTGAAAAGGTGAAAGTTCTCGACTTAATCAGGAAAGAAAAAAAATCCTATGCTGAGGTTGCTAAGATCTACGGGAAGAATGAATCTTCCATCCGTGAAATTGTGAAGAAGGAAAAAGAAATTCGTGCTAGTTTTGCTGTCTCACCTCCAACTGCTAAAGTGACGGCCACGGTGCGTGATAAGTGCTTAGTTAAGATGGAACAGGCACTGCATTTGTGGGTGGAAGAGATGAACAGAAAACGTGTTCCCATTGACAGCAACGTGTTGTGCCAGAAAGCCTTGAGCCTATACCAAGACTTCAGCAAGGGATGCTCTGAAACTGACACCAAGCCATTTACTGCGAGTAAGGGATGGTTACACAGATTCAGGCATAGATTCTCACATCATTACAAGAAGAAGAAGAAAGGTAAGTACGTTACAACAAGTTATATTGAGAGAGAGAGATCGAGAGAGAGAGAGATCACATTCACATAACATTACAGTACTTGATATACTTATTCTATTTTATTATTGTTAATTTCTTACTGTGCCTAATTTATAAATTAAAATTCATCATAGGTGTGTATGTACAGGTTGAACATCTCTAATCCAAAAATCCAAAATTTGATCTGTTCCAAAATCCAGAACTTATTGAATGCTGACCTGATGCAAGTTGAAAATTCTATACCTGTCACCTTTGCCTTTTTTTTTTTTTTTTTCTGAGACAGAGTCTTGCCCTGTCACCCAGGCTGGAGTGAAGTATTGCGATATCGGCTAACTGCAAGCTTCGCCTCCTGGATTCAAGCTATTCTCCTGCCTCAGCCTCCAGAGTAGCTGGGATGACAGACGTGCACCACCACGCCCAGCTCATTTTTATGCTTTTAGTAGAGATGGGGTTTCACCATGTTGGCTAGACTGAGCTCAAAATCTTGACCTCAGGTGATTCAACCACCTCAGCCTTCCAAAGTGCTGGGATTACAGGCATGAGTCACTGCGCCTGGCGGGCCTTCTTTTTTTTCTCTTGAGACAGAGTCTTGCCCTGTTGCCCAGGGTCTGGCCCTGTTGAAATGGTGGGATAACAGCTCACTGCAGCCTCGACCTCCTGGGCTCAAGCAATTCTCCCATCTCAGCCTCCTGAATAGCTGGGACCACAGGCCTGCACCCCTACACCTGACTAATTTTTAATTTTTTTGTAGAGGCAGAGTCCCATTATGTTGCTGGGCTGGTCCCACTATATTGCCCGGACTCACCAACATGGTGAAACCTTGTCTCTACTAAAAATACAAAAATTAGCCGGACGTGGTGGTGCACACCTGTAATCCCAGCTACTCGGGAGGCTGAGGCAGGAGAATCGCTTGAACCTGGGAGGCAGAGGTTGCAGTGAGCCCAGATCACGACACTGCACTCCAGCCTGGGCGACAGAGTGAGACTCCATCTCAAAAAAAAAAAAAAAAAAAAGAACATAATAGATTTAGGGTTTGGCACTATTCGCAGTTCCAAGCATCCACTGAGGGTCTTGGAACGAGTCCCCCGAAGATAAGGGGGAGACTCCTAGCCCTTCATTTCTCTTGTCCTCCCAGTTGATTCATCTGCATTCCTACATGCCCTGGGGCCATTTCACCGGTGTCTGGCTTCTTTTACTGTATTACTTGTGATTCCCCTACACTCCTTGCCATCAGTATATATTTTTTTGGGGGGTGGGGACGGAGTCTTGCTCTGTCGCCCAGGCTGAAGTAACAGTGGCACGATCACGTCCCACTGCAACCTCTGCCTCCTGAGTTCAAGAGATTTTCCTGCCTCAGCCTCCTGAGTAGCTGGGATTACAGGAGCGTGCCACCATGCCCAGCTAATTTTTTTTTTTGAGATGGAGTTTTGTTCTTGTTGCCCAGGCTGGAGTGCAATGGCACGATCTTGGCTCACTGCAACCTCCGCCTCCTGGGTTCAAGCAATTCTCCCTGCTTCAGACTCCCAAGTAGCTAGGATTACAGGCGCCCACCACCACACCTGTCTTTTTTTTTTTTTTTTTGTATTTTTAGTAGAGACAGGGTTTCACCAGTTGGCCGGGCTGGTATGGAGCTCCTGACCTCAGGTGATCTGCCTGCCTCTGACTTCCAGAGTGCTGGGATTATAGATGTGAGCCACCTCGCCTGGCCACTAGTATACGTTTTTACATTGTAGGTGCTTAATACATTTTTGTTGTATGGTGAATCGTGTACTCTTGAGTTTGTACTTGTAGGCTGAGCTGTGAAGCAGGTAGAATTTATTAATTAAAACTAAGCCCTGTGGCTGGGTGTGATGGCTCATGCCTGTAATCCCAGCACTTTAGGAGGCTGAGGCAGGAGGATCGCTTGAGTCCAGGAGTTCAAGACCAGCCTGGGCAACATGGCAAAACTCCATCTTTACCAAAAAAAGTAATAATAATACAAAAGTTAGGTGGGTGCAGTGGTGTGCGCCTGTGGTCCCAGCTACTTGGTAGGTTGAGGTGGGAAGATCACTAGAGCTTGGGAATCCCAGGCTGCAGGGAGCTATGATCATGCCACTACACTCCAGTCTGGGTGACAGAGCAAGACCCTGTCTCAAAAGAAAAAAGCAAAACAAAACAGAAAACAAGCCCTGAGTCTGGGCGCAGTGTCTCATTCCTGTAATTCCAGTATTTTGGGAGGCTGAGGCAGGAGAATGGTTTGAGCCTAGGAGTTTAAGACCAGCCTGAGCAACATAGTGAAACCTTGTCTCTACAAAAAAATAAAAATAAAAAATCACAAAATTAGCCGTTCATGGTAAGTGATCTTACCACTGCACTTTGATCTGGAGGACACAGCGAGACTGTCTGAAAACCAGAACAAAACCAGAAATCTAAGCCCTTTAAAACCTGAAAAATTAACCTTTGGAAAGAAAAATCTAGGAACAGTTTTTAAAAATAAATCAGGCCACTATTTCAAGATTTCAGAGTTTTCATAAAGGGAGTGGATGACATCCCAAACGATGAAAGGTTGTAAGGGATAGATACAGATTCTAGATCAGTGATGGGCAAACCTTGTTTGTAAGGATAGTAAATATTTTTGGCTTTGGGGACATGGGGTCTTTGTCACATGCATGCAAACCTTCCTTTGCAGGAAAGCAGCTGTAGACAAGATGTAAACAAGTGAATGTGACTGTGTTCTGACAAAGCTTAATTTACAAAAATAGGCTGCAGTCTGGATTTGACCTGTAGGCTGGAGATTTTTCTAGGTATTTGCTTTTCATTAGTAAAATATTACATTAGAAGGACAGAAAGTCCTCCAGGATTGCTGGGAAAACAAAATGAGATTTGGAAGTTTTTGGAGTTTACATCTACAGTTTTTTTTTTTTTTTTTTTTTGAGACGGAGTCTCGCTCTATCGCCCAGGCTGGAGTGCAGTGGCCGGATCTCGGCTCACTGCAAGCTCCGCCTCCCGGGTTCCCGCCATTCTCCTGCCTCAGCCTCCCGAGTAGCTGGGACTACAGGCGCCCGCCACCTCGCCCGGCTAGTTTTTTGTATTTTTTAGTAGAGACGGGGTTTCACCGTGTTAGCCAGGATGGTCTCGATCTCCTGACCTCGTGATCCGCCCGTCTCGGCCTCCCAAAGTGCTGGGATTACAGGCTTGAGCCACCGCGCCCGGCCTACATCTACAGTTTTAAAGGAGCAAAAAGGGCTGGGCACGGTGGCTCACGCCTGTAATCCCAGCACTTTGGGAGGCTGAGCCAGGCAGATCACCTTAGGTCAGGAGTTCGAGACCAGCCTGGCTAACATGGTGAAACCCTGTCTCTACTAAAAATACAAAACTTAGCTGGGTGTGGTGGCATGCACCTGTAATTTCAGCTAGTCGGGAGGCAGAGGTTGCAGTGAGCTGAGATTGCGCCACTGCACTCCAGCCTGAGCCACAGAGCAAGACTCCATCTCAAAATAAAAGAGCAAAAAGTTAAGTACTGTGTAAAAATCTGTCATCTCAATAAATGGTGCTGGCACTTCAGATGTGAGTAGGAAAATGGTTAATAACTATATCAGCTTTGGGAGATTTTATTCTGTGGTACAAGTTCTTACGGTAAAGGATTTTGAGCTTTATTAGAGTGCAGTGAAATTTTCTCAGGAAAATGTACTTGGGACGGGAAACACTGTGTTGGCTTATAGTCATATTTCATTATTTTCAGTTTTCTATTAATGCATGCTGTGTTCCAAATCATAAAATATAAAAGACAACATTCCTGCCTCCATTTGTTGTTATGTACAAAATGCAAAGAAAGTACAATAATTATGAAACACTCAGCCCAGCACAGTGGCTCACACCTGTAATCCCAGCACTTTGGGAGGATGAGGCAGGAGATCACTTAAGCCCAGGAGTTCGAGACCAGCCTGGGCAACATGGCGAAACCCCCTCTCTACAAAAAATACAAAAATTAGCTGAACATGGTGGCACATGCCTGGGATTCCAGCTACTCAGGAGGCTGAGGTGGGAGGATCTCCTAAGCCTAAGGAGGCAGAGGCTGCAGTGAGCTGTGATTGCACCACTGCATTCCAGCCTGGGTGACAGAGTAAGACCCTGCCTCAAAAAATGATAATAATTATTATGAAACACTTGTTTTTTCAATGATTACTGGTAGCATAGATGACGCCAACTGATAGTATCTTTTTTTGAATTCCACCTGGTATCATCCTGCCTATTATTTTATTCTTTTTTTCAATTTTTTAATTTCTATTTTTGTTTGTGTTTTTATTTTTATTTTCTTTTTTGTTAAATAGCAGACTTTTGAC